TCTGATCATTCATTAGATTATGATCGGTTTGATCTTGTTGTCTGGTGACTATAGATATCACTGCTTGCAGTAGATCCATCATTACATTGTTGTCTACTTGGTTTCTTGAGGTTGATGCATGAGCAATTATAGGTCTCATCATTTCACTTATCGTTTGACTGAGATCATTATCCCCGTTAGGAGGGGTTTGGTCTTTACATGTAGCCATTGTCCTATAAATAGAATGTTTTGGTCAACTATTATACAAGAGATATATTCTAAGCTAGTCACATACATGCAATTCATGTAATCATGAACTCAATCATTACTAAACACAATAACACAAATTAGTATTTACAAACCAAAAGCATGTTATTAATATTTAACTTTTTAGTTCATACACATATATGAGTATATGGGTTCTACATATATACATATTTTTCTACCAAAAGTCCTATATACCTCAAAAAGTAACTAAGAAAACCCATACACTGATCTTACAAAATTGTCCTTATAGTTACACTTTACTCCATCGAGGAAGAGGAGCTGCTGGAGCTAGAGCTCCCCTCGGTTAGCTCGGTCACCTCCGAGTCTTGGCTACTATTTGAGTCAGACATTGGATCTGAATCGATACCACTAGTCCCCCATTCTTCAAGATTGAGGTCTGCACCCATACCCAAAATATTCGACTCACCCTCAGAGGAGGCAAGTTCTTGGTCATCATTAGAAATCTTGGCTACATGTGACTCCATACCAGAGGGATCAGATGAAATCATAATGATTTCAGATGTTGAGGACTCTATGGGAATAACTTCTACTATTGGCTCATCCTCATCAAAGGGAGTAGTCTCAGACTCAAAAGAATCTATTGATATAATCTCTACTGACTCTATATCAAAGGAATCTGTCATCTTATGACTAGTCAAAATCTCTTTTGGGCCAGTCTCGTCAGAATCGTACTCCTAGTCTTTTTGGTTGTGTACCCACGGGTTGCTTATTGAGGTTGTATAGCTAGAATGAGTGTTTGAGGAGCTAGTTGATGAATGTGTCCCCGCCATCCTACAAAAGGGGACCATCCATCAGCATACTAAAATAAAATGACAAAAATAAAATAAATAAAATAAACATGCATTAAGAAATATAAGAAAATGAAATAGGGTCAACTAAATCCCATATGTACCCTCCTTAAATATGTAAAATGTCTTACGATAAAATATTTATATGCATACACGTATGTACATATGTATACAAATATGTATGTCACATAATTGATCCATACGATAACACTCATTTAGTGCATATACACTATGATACGTGCCCTACAAGGCTTCTAACGTTGAAACCTGGGCTTTGATACCATCTTACTATCAAGCCCTAAAACTTGCAGTGGAAATTCATAAATACAGGTTATGTGACAGCAACGACTCGTGCACAAGACAATTCTTATACATTAGTCAAGCCTGACACTCCATATCACACAGTTTATCTCAAAGCATTTATAAATCTGCTGATGATAGAAGTTCAGAGCAACTCTATATATGTATATAATCCATATTTATAACCCACAAGTTCACCGTTATAAGTATTTTACTAATTAGCACATTGCTGACTGTATCTAACATAAAAAAGGAGGCTTTCATATAATGCCCCTCAACAAAACACCATAAACAAAAGTTTGGCTATATGCAGCTACGCCAGATCTGAAAAAATGAAAAGCAACGGGATGAGCTAGGACTCAGTGAGAACATTTCCCACCACAGTTTAGATAGCTAACAAATTAATAATAAGAATAATTCCCGGAAATAATGAATTATAAATTTTGCACTATAATTCCAAAAAGAATTACAAGTAGGGTCCAAACAACATACTTTTGATATTTTTTATGTAATAGTTTATAATTTTTTCTCATTTGCAAAGTAAATATATTGTACTATATTCCAAAATCAGACCCATTTTTAAAACAAGGAAAATACCAAGAAAAATGGACTATTAAATTTGTGCAAAAACCAAAGGTTTGTAATTTGCTCTATTTCACAATGAATTGTCAAAATCTTAAATTTCGATGAGTCATTCGTGAATATAAAAATCACCTCATAGCTCACACTAAGACTACAAATTATAGCCCAGTAGCATGGGAATGTGTAAAATACATCACATAACAGATAATTCCTGGGAATTAAATGTACCTATCACTGCCATAGGTTACTGGCCAAGTACAGAGTAGCCAGAACAAATTTCAAAAGGGCCAATTACAAAAGGGCCAATTATAGAAGGGACGAATACAGAAGGGCTGAATAAATGTGCATTCACTATATGGCAGACAGAACACTCCATAGTGGACTTTCTGAGGATTAAAAATAATCGAGAATCACTTGTCAAGTCAGAAATACCTTGCTCATTAGATATTACAAATATTTTCAAATGAAGTGGACGAGGGTAAAATTCATCATCCCAGTTAAAACAGTTTATGGATTTCACTTTTCTTTATTTTTATCTGTTATTAAGTCACAAAAAATCTTTGGACCCATTAAACTGTCAAAACATGTTCAAAATATTTCTTTTCTTCAAAAGCTTTCAAATAAAGCAATATCTATAATTATATGAGATCGTGTAAAAACCAAATTCACTTTTCATATTTTACATAAAATAAAATTTCCTTTTCATATCTTGTACGAAACTAACATCGTATTATAGGATAAACTACAACAAATTAGATCAAATCACATTTAACTTTAATATACACAAAAAATAATAGACTATTCATTTTTCAAGCACAAGATCATTGAAACATGGTGCTATGTACTCATGTAATTTTATATTATAAAAATACTAGTAAGAAATAAGCTCACCTCTAGTGGTCACGACTGCCTCAAAATATTATTCTCCTGAATATCAACCAAAACCTATAATATGATGGTTTAAAGTTAATATTAATTCATGACACATATATTATAGGTTAATCAATTCATAATCTAGAGCCATTAAATTCAAATATAATCAATATCAATTAAAATCTATAAATAGGGTACAATTGACAATTTTAGCAATTTATCAAAATTTATTACTCTCATATACTAGCTTTTGGACATCATAATAATATATGATAAGACAGGGGGTTATAGGGAATAATTCAAGCCCAAAAGTTATCATTTATTCTTTACATTGGACTTATTTGCAAATAGAATAAATAACAGGGGTCTATACATAATGTTTCCATTCATATATGGTCTTAGATTTCTCTGTTAGGGTTTATTTACAAATCTTTGTGGCTATTAGGGACTTAGAATGAATTCTTAGGTCACAAATCTCTATCCTCCACTCAAGAGGGTTTATAGGCAAAGTTAAAATAACTTGGGGGGGTTTTGATAAATTTTGCTCCATTTATTTTGTTTACACCTGATCATCTTCCTTCTTCATTCTTCGTTTCTTTTCTTTCTTTTTTTTCTTCCGTTCCTCCTCCTCCTCCTCCTCCTCTCTCTCTCTCTCTCTCTCTCTCTCTCTCTCTCTCTCTCTCTCTTTTTCTCTCTCCACCCCCTGAACAGTCTAAGGCCTCTCTCTCTCTCGCCATGGAGGTTGGTGGGTGATAGGGGATCGCCGACGACCAGGAGCGGCCGACGACAAGACCCACGCCGGATCTAGGGTTAGTAAAAAACTTTTTTCTAATCCACCACATACATCTTAAACACATAATTTTTTTTTTGCAAATCCTAGTTTTTAACTTCATAATCATAACAAGTTATCATCCTCACTCATTCTATTTTGATTCAAATTACTAAAACTTACTATGAAATTTAAAAGTGGTTATAACTCAATTGATTAGGATATTGATTTGTTGCCTTGGTCTTCTTTTCTCCCTTCACAAGCTTTCTATAAATCCCTGAGAGTTTGGTTGAGGATGAGAGGGTATTCTCCTTTTTTTTCTTTCTTTTTTCCCTTTTTTGTGGGGTTTTCTTTGATTTTTCTCTGTTTTATCCCTCTGTTGAGGAGGTGATGCCCTAAGCATCAATGGTTTTTAGCCATTAAAACACTAACGTGGTAGTTAAACAAGAGCTGGGGGTAAAATTTTAAAGAAAACCCTAATTAGTTTCCCTAATATATATTTTAAATTTTTTCTCCATTAATCCAATTTTAAGGCACTGATTACTTAGGCTACTACCTGCCAATTCGATGCACATGTTCCTCTGATAAGAGCATTTGCCCAATCGGGCGACAACTCTATTCAAGAAGTTTTTCCACTTGTCTGCCACGACGAATCACTAGACGAACGCACCCAACCACTGACCACATGTTCTCAACCAACAAACTATTAAGTTCTAATTATATGGATGGTTTTTTTGTTGGATAGCATGTTTCTAATATGTTTCTTAATTTGTTTTGGTAACAGGTTTTTGGGGTTCCTAATCTGTTTTGGTAACATGATTCTAAATCTGTGTTGGTAACATGTTATTAGGATTCGTAATCTGTTTTGTTTTTTGTTTTAGAATTCCTAGTATGTTTTTGGTTTTAAGATTTCTATATATATGGAACGATTGGAAGAGAGAATTAAGTAGCGAATTGAGGATATTTAGAGCACAAAAAGAGGTATTTTCTGAACCATTGGTTAGGGTTTTATTTTGAGAGAATTAGAGATTTGTTGGTGAGTGTTAGATATTTGCTTTAAAGATCTGCACGTATGTTATATATTGTTTCAGATTTCTGTTTTTGAACTAGTCTTCTAGTCAGTTAGTTGTTGCTAGTCTTTAGGATCAAGTTTCCTATTCTTTAGGAGTAAGCCAGTAGTGGTTTAGTGGCTTATAACGTGGTTGTTATGACTCTTAAGAATTTTTTTGAGTACTATAAATGTAGAAGATCTCTGATGAATAAAGTATCAATTCAACCTTTGCAGAATATCCTAATATTGTTATCTTCTTCCTTTAAACTTATTTTTTGTTTCAGCCTTCAACCTTTAAGTTCTCTGTTTTTCCTTCTCTTTTAAACCAATGAACTGGTATCAGAGCTCTTCTTCTTAAGGGGTCTGTGAAATGGAAGCAGAAAGCAGTTCTCCACAACCAGCTCCTCCAACCTTTGATGGTGAAAATTATCAGATTTGGGCAGTGAAGATGGAGATGTATTTGGAGGCTTTGGATCTTTGGGAAGCCGTGGAAGAGGATTATGAAGTTCCTCCGCTGCCAAACAATCCCACCATGGCTCAGATCAAGCTTCATAAAGAAAGGAATGTCAGAAAGTCTAAAGCTAAAGCTTGTCTCTTTGCTGCTGTTTCAACAACTATCTTTACAAGGATTATGTCCCTCAAAACTGCCAAAGAAGTGTGGGACTATTTGAAGGAAGAATATGCAGGAGATGAAAGGATAAGAGGCATGAAGGTGTTGAATTTATTAAGGGAATTTGAGTTGCAAAGGATGAAAGAGTCTGAGACAATCAAAGAGTACTCAGACAGGTTGCTGGGCATCGCAAACAAGGTGAGGTTACTTGGTACTGAACTTTCTGATTCTAGAATTGTTCAAAAAATACTTGTAACAGTGCCAGAAAGGTACGAGGCTTCCTTAACCACCTTGGAGAATACCAAGGATATGTCTAAGATTCCCTTGGCGGAATATTAAGTGCCTTAAAAGCTCAAGAGCAACGAAGGTGTCACGCCCGCTTCCAAAATACACGGGATCGAAACGTGACAGCCCCGACGTATTATCAAGGAGAGTAAATAAAAAATAAATGTTTCTCCTCAACCTAATACTGTTAAAGCGTCCTAGAAATAAGTACAATGCGAAGTCACAGGTCCCCGATCACAGTCAGCAAGAATATAATGAACAAACTCAGAACATAATGATACATATCCCAAATGGAATAACATCCGAAGCATAATATTCGGTCAACTGCCCTTATAAAAAACTATCTGAATGAAATACTGGAGAATATAAATATACACTGAGAAAGGAACTGAAAGAACTACAAAATAAACTAGGACCAATCAAAGATAGGCTCCGACTCCTTCTTCTTGCTCTGTCTACATAGCACCTTCTGTTGAAGACTCCCTCTGGTCCTGTTGAACCTGTTCTTCTCCTAAGTCTGACGTACACCAGAGAAAACAGGTGTACGTCGGTGCATGGCGCACGGCAAGACCCAACCCCACAAAGATTAGAACGAACGGAAATCCAATGCGAAAACAATACAATAAAAAACAACAAAAGAACGTACAATTGAAATCCGCAATTCAAATGAAAACACTACTAAATTATGATAACAATAAGCATCCAGAATCGATCAGGTAACGAATCATGCAGGCTAGCGATCAGTCGTAATCATCCAAATCACAAGACATACACTAGAAAAATTAATACTTAAAAATCTACAACTCGAGACGTAGTAGTCGGCGAAATAATCCAAACAAGGAAACCCTCAGTATATACATATGTCTCAAATGTAGATATATTAAATTTATATCCTCATCTAGGTATCGGAAAGAAACACCAACTGTCCTACATCTCACAATAATCCATACCTAGGCCAAACATCACAGGTCATATAACTAGTCATTCTATAACGCTCACTGGTCACATCTTACACAAGCCAACGCTCATATCACCGGATAATTGACTGTTCACAAATCTCCTACGTGCATCCAATCCCGCTACACATGCGGCCTAGAGACTACACATAAACCGTTTCTGCCCTGGTTCGAACTTCAAACAGAACTCGGGTGACGAACGATTTCACTGACTAAAGTGATGCTCACACTTCACTTCTTCTGCTTCGTCTACAAGACACTCCTGCTGAGAATACTCTGCTTTGGCGCATCTCCAAGCTGAACATATTCTTCTTCTAAGTCTGACGTACACCAGAGAAAACAGGTGTACGTCAGCGAGTATGGCACACGGCAAGACCCGACCCCACAAAGAAAATAGAACGAACGGAAATCCAATGCGAAAAACAATACAATAACAAAAACAACAAAAGAACGTACAATTGAAATCCGCAATTCAACATGAAAACACTACTAAATTATGATAACAATAAGCATCCAGAATCGATCAGGTAACGAATCATGCAGCTAGCGATCAGTCTAATCATCCAAATCACAAGGACATACACTAGATAAAATTAATACTTAAAAATCTACAACTCGAGACGTAGTACGTCGAGCGAAATAATCCAAACAAGGAAACCCTCATGTATATACCATATGTCTCAAATGTAGATAATTAAATATTAATCCTCATCTAGGTATGGAAAGAAACACAACTGTCCTACATCTCACAATAATCCATACCTAGCCAAACATCAAGGTCATATAACTAGTCATTCTATAACAGGTCACTGGTCACATCTTACACAGAGCCAACGCTCATATCACCGGATAATTGACTGTTCACAAATCTCCTACGTGCATCCAATCCCGCTACACATGCGGCCTAGAGGACTACACATAAACCGTTTTCTGCCTGGTTCGAACTTCAAACAGAACTCGGGTGACGAAACGATTTCACTGACTAAAGTGATGTACACACTTCACTTTAGCCCTACAAACCAACCCCGGTGGCGACACCAACCACGGAAGCGAGCCTGGAAGATACATCAACAGTCTTATCCGATCACATGAACATTAACTTCCTCATCCCAACTCTTCTCGTTTTTCTAAATCAACCATAATCCTCATTGAAACTCGGGTTCACCACCTAACTCAGTCAACTCACTCACACATGTCACTAAGTCTGTTCATGACGCAGGAAGCCACTAAGTCGAACTACTAATGGTTATCAATCACAGCAAATAATAACAAAACAATTAATCATGTACAATAATATCATGGCAAATCAGGTAATCGAAATTGAGAGTCATAAATTTATGAACAACCAACTATGTAATTTAGAAAAGTAATCTTTTCCAAATTAATTTATTTTAAATTATTGTAGTCTTCCTAAAATGATTCCTTTCACAAAATAAATAATTTCAAAATATAATTCTTTTGACGGAAATAACTTAACAACTCAAGATGACCTCTTTTCCGAAATAAATACCTTGAAATTGTCTATTCTAATAATTATTCAAAACCAACCCTTTTTTCCAATTAATCTTTTTCTCATCATAATAATTCTAAAAATAATCTTTAAATATACTCTTTCTTTTAAAAACATCTCACAAAATACTTATTTCTTTAAATTACTTATCTAACATCATTATCAATATGATCATCAACAAGCTCACGCAGTTAATAACAATTCACAATCTAATCTATGTAACTAATTAATGACAGATATAAATATGAAATAACGAGTCAAGAGGAACGGGATCTTGCCTACGAGACCGTGGGGTCTGATGGCGAGGTGACGACGCTGATGCGGATGCTCGGGAATGTTGTTGGAATGTCTCGGAGCTCCGACGGGCTTGCTGGCGGCTAGAAGAGGGCGGTTCTTCCACTAGTTGTTCGTTG